CAGAGGCTACAGGCCTTATTCAGAGGCTACAGGCCTTATTCAGAGGCTACAGGCCTTATTCAGAGGCTACAGGCCTTATTCAACCTTTTGCCCGGGCCCTGACGTAGAGTATCCCGGAGCGTGTAGGCGAAGAGTGGAGGATACGACTGCACTCAAGCTCAGGGAAGCGGGACCAGCCAGGCTGAGAACAACTATGTAGGGTGGGTCAGGAGGCCTGAGACAGTGGGGAGTGGGAGAAGCGCTGTATATAGAGGGGCAGGTATGGAGTTCAGAGTCCATATTTAGATTTGGTTCATGAACCTAGTTTGGAGCACCACAGGGCCCTTGCAAGGTGCCCACCAGTAATGTCATTCCATAGCCACCCTTCTTGTGCCTGTAAAGACTGTCCCTGAGCCCAGTGACCAGGCGTGGCCCTCCTCTCCTGAATCCTAGCCTGTTAGGGAGCCTTCCACCTAAAGCTTCAGTCATGGGGAGAGTGAAGTTAGGTGGGAGGCGACCCCAAAGTCTCAGCTGTCCCCATGGGTCACAGGGGAAGAGATGTGGGAACCATCCACGCATTCCCAAGATGCTTAGCTGAAATTGGATTCCATGCACAGCTGCTGGTCAGGAGCTTTGGTCTTCTGAAGACACCGGGGTAGTCCAAAAAGAAACACGGACTGACAAAGACCCACCCCACCCACGTCTGTCTGACCTCTGGGAATGCAAGGCACAGCCAAGTAGGTCTCACATCTGTCTTCCTGGGATGTGCTTCACCCTGGTGGGCATTTAGCCATGTCTGTCCTTCCTCTATCCCTTAGAGAGCCCACTGTCGCCAGTGTTGGGCCCACTGCTGGGGCCAACCTGGGCCCCCTGCCAAGTTCCAGGCAGTCCCCAACTGCCTCACTGACAAATGCCAGGCCCAGGGGTCCCACATCAAGCATGAGGCCCTGACCTGTGCTCTGACACCCACACTGACAGGCTCTGTGGAAGACAAGCAGAAACCTGATTAGAAGCCAGGATGTAGATAGCAGTGGGGCTGGAGGGCTGGATTCCATCTGTACCGCGAGTGGAAAATGAGGAGATAACAGAAAACACAGAACTAGAGGGAAGAGAGCAGTCTCTGGGGCCTGACTCAGGGCTCTCCTCCCTGGCCCTGAGGCCCTTGGTGTGGAAAGGCCCTCAGCTTTCCACGCCAAGCCTGGATGTGTGTGAGTGTGTAAACCTGTGTGAGAGACAGCGCAGAGAAAGAAACTGGCCTCTTGACACACCTGATAGGAACACAAACATCTAAGTAGACTCAGGCTCTGCTTGCTCCCACCCCTGACCTTGGATCTTAGTTCAAGGGCACCCCATATTCCTGAACGGGGTGTTAGCAAGATGGATCACCAAGCTCGTGGCCAGGAAGTCCAGTGTTCGAACTTCTTTGGGTTTATGACTTCCAAACTTGGGGTCAACTTGAGCTGCCTTTAGCTGCCCCCACAACACACATACACACATACATTCCTCCCAACATCACAGCGTGGATATTGTCCTAGCTTATGTGCTCATAGGCTCTTATGCTCTTACCCCAAATGCTGCCATCTGCCTCCCCCATGAGAGGATGCCCCCCCAATTCCTTCTCTAACTCAGAGCCAGAAGCAGTGGAGAGAACTGGCATTCTGTCTTTACCTGCTTGTTTCCTGTGCAGAGGAGACAGGTAAAGAGAGCTAAAAGTGTCTGTCAGAGACAAAGGACAAAGAAATAACACGGTCTCTTTGGTCAACAGGGCCTCTGGAGCTGTCTCCTTAGAGTCCTGCAGGCCAGCCATTTTCTTGTCCTTCCACTGAAGACATTTATCACTGTCACTGTTCCCCAGGCACCCCAGTGCCTCCCCTCCCACCAGGAGAGCTGCCCTTCAAGCCACTGGCTGCGGTCCCTCCTGGGAGCGTAATCCACCAGGCGCTGCCTTGGGCTTCTAAGGAACATGTGGGACAGGTCTGTCCTTCCAGGTTTCACCCCCCACAGCATCTTAGGAGAGGTGCCATTTTATAGACAAAAGGCTATGAGTATTAAAGACAAACCTACTTACCCAAACAAGAAATATCTTCCATCCCCCAAACCTTATTTCCCC